GGAAGTATATTCTTAAACCTTACCCACTCAATATCACCCTTTCTTGCTTAATCTTTCCTCCCTCTCAACATGTTTTTCCTCCACAATTCCATTTCACCCGAGAGGTGTGAGTCCTGTGATTAACTAGATTCCATCATCATTTGTGTAATCACCTCCCATCACTTAGCATAGGAGTAGAGGAGGAAGATGCTGTTTCTTCACTATGTAGTTTACTATGGAGAAAGAATCCCATTCCCATTTCCTAGATTTAAAATTTTATATAAATTCCAGTTGAATCAGAAAACCAAAAGATCTGTTGAACATTTGTCCTTCCTGAAACACAAAAATAAGTTTTCAATCAAACCAGCTTCTTAGATCTAGAAGGAAAGAGGGAGAAATTATTTCTACCTTTCCAAAGATACAAAGTGTTACAGCAAGTCCCTTTTCTCTAAAATAGCAAGAAAAAAAAGGTTTTTTGCAGATGTTTTCTTTAGAGAGTGAAGGATAAGCACTGAGGGAAAGCCATTCCACTGGCTGTACAGAAAGTAATATAATGTAGATTATGCCTTGTTCTAGCAATTTAGGCACAGAAACATCTTTTCCTGAATTTCCTTTACATGATACAGGAGGAGAAGGAAGTGTCATTCTTGAAGTGAGTATGTAGCTTGTTTTTTGAAAAATGGAGCTCTGGGGCAATGGGGGGAAACCCAGAAATTATACCTTAAAGAAATCTGGAGGAGGAGAAGTTAGAAGTGTCAGTGATTTTCTTAATAGCAGAATTCCCTCTGAAATATACAAGTAATTGGCCAAAATGCGCTTGCAGAGGCAGGAACTGTAATCCATTGCTGTCTCTTAATACAAAACAATTATTTTGGAAATAGCAAAATTTAGCAGAAGTTTACTCATACAAAAACCCCACTCACATATCCATGAAAATCAAGATGCAAAATGCCATATAATGTCTGTTTGGCACAGATGGATAGAGAGAGTGAGAGAGGGAGGAAGAGTCATTGACAGTTTAGAATTAGATTTGTTAATTTTTGAAGAGAGCAAGACTGGGTCTTTTGTGTTTAAGCAGTGAGTAAAGGGCCTGTAGTGTGAGGTAGAACAGCTTGCTCTGACAGTGCTCTGCATCTGTCACTCGAGAAAAGAGGAAAAAGAGTCCCCCTAGTGTACCAGTGCTGTAAGCATTGTCTTGCTCAATTCGCTAAATCTGCTGTGAATTCTGCTATGGTATGTAATCCAGTGCCTAAAGGTATTTTAGTAAACCTCTGGGCTCTGTTGATCACAAGGCTTCTAGTTCAGGAAGGAAAGAACAATAGACAGTCATAAATAATGAGCATTTTAAAATGACCACGTGTTTTAACACATTTTAGCTATGAAGTAATTGGGTTTTTCATTGCTGTATAATTATAAATACTAGGTTTTGCCACCAAGGAAACATATATTTTCCTGGAAAACAGAGAGAGAAATTATTTTATATAATAATACTCTTTTCACAAGTTCTTAGCTGGGTATCTGTGAGGTAAAATCAAGCACATTATTATATTCAAAAGTACCTTTTTTAATTATTGTTTCAATTAAAAAGGGGAAAAAAACCGGAAAGTCTACTGCAGTTAAAAGTATTCAGTTTTACACTTTCCCTGGCTGCCAGAAATCCAGTGTGCAACTCAAAACACGGGAATTTTACCACTTTGAATTTGCACTGTCAAAGCTTAAGTGATAAATCAACCTCCTCCCTGTGTAAGCCCTCTCTCAATGATTTTAGATACAGTAATGCAAACCTGGTCCTTTGTGACAGGTGCTGAAGGGGCATACATGTAGGAAGGCACAGCTACCATACATAGCTGTAACTCCATAACTATTTTCCTCTCAGGTATCCTGACGTAGAGCCATGGATAAAAAATTTCAAAGGAGACCAGAAGGTCTCTGTTGGAGATACAGCACAGCTGGATGGTAAGCAGTATTTGTCATTCTGTCTTTCAGTAATTTTCCTCAAGATGCTCATGCTAGAGCAAACCTGGCAAGTCAAGTTCCCCTTTGCACCCTGCTCTCCATCTGACTCTGCCCTGTGGCAAATTAGGCACTATCTTGCTCTCTCACCTTTTTGACTGCTGACAGGAGAGCTAAATCACCTTTCCAGCAGCAAAGGAAGTGTGTTTTCAGGGGAGGGAGTGAGTGGGGGGAGTGGGAGATGTTAGGGAGATAATTCCTTAGAGTAAGTAAAAAGACAAAGTGGGACCAACACCTTACAGGAAATGGCCAGTGGAAGGCCTGAAGAATGAGAAGCAAAGATGAAACAGTGCTCAGGGATCAGTTGTGCAGCCCCTACAGACATGATCAGGTAGATTTGGCTGGGGGAAAAGGTCTCCAGCTCCTCAGAGGTAAGGGCAGCTCCAGCAGTAGCAGAGGAGGCTCTTGCAGCTGTTCAGATTAATAATGGTGCTGTAAATTATGTAGAGGTATTAGTTGCAGGGCTGTTGTTTTACATTTTAGATAGTAGATTGGCATTTCCTGGAAGTGTGGGTTAATTATGGTAAAAAGAGAGGTAGCATATATCTCACTTTGGGAGGAGGGAGCTCTTGCAGCTCTGCTGGTGCTGCGTGCATGCCAGTGGTTGGTTTATTGGAATGTAAGGGTGCAGCAGACTTGTGTGCATACAACACTGTGCTTATTTGTGTTCTATAACAAATATCTATGTCAGTGTCTCTGCTAATAAAAACCCCACAGTGCTAATTGCCAGGTTTAGTTAAATGAGTTAAAGGAATTTGAAAGGTGTTTGTGCACACCCACTGCAGAAAGGCGTCTCCTGAAGAAAAACTGTAAAATAGACATCCTTAACTTTCCTTTCAAATTCACATGCACTATTTTATTTTAGTGTGTCTGTTTTCCTGGAGACAGCTGAGGCAATCTCCTCTACTCACTTGCTCACTTACCAGTTGTACTTTGAATTGCTTGTGATGATATGGATGTTGATTATGGCCTTCACAATACTGCCTGGTTTTTCCATAGAATTGTCCTGGAGGAAGAGACCGCAGCAAATTCTCAGCTGACCAGAAGGCAGCCCAAGGTATTAGTTCAGTGTATTTTCTTTCATGAGTAAGAAGCAGATAAGATTTCAGTTCAAATGGTTCATTTTATTTATGTTTATATATTAAATGCATAGCAGATATTGGAAACAACATTTTAGGTATTCCTTCCTCCTCCTCCCAGAGGCAATGTTTCATTGTTAATATTGTATATCTTTCTAAAAATGCTTGATTTCAAAAATTTGTTATGCTAAAATATTTTGTCCTAGGAACACTTCTGGGTCCCCATGCATCTACATATGAATTGTTCTTATTTCTAATTTTTAAAATATGTATCGAAATTTCCTTTCTTAAGTTTTTTTCTTAGCATTTAAAAAATAATTGTATTATAAAAACTCAAAGAATGCAAAGTAAGCTGGATATTCCCTGCCTATCTCATTCCCTCATTCATTTCATTTGTTCTATACTTCCATGCATATGCATATATGTAAGCATATACACACATACACATATATGTGCACATGTACATATGCTCCATCACATTCCAAACACTTCTGGATGTTGAATCTTGAAATTCTGTGGTAGGAGACTGGCAAGTGACTACAATTAGAATATTGTTGATATTCTCACATTTCATTGACCATAGAAGCTGAGATCAATATTTTCAATGCCTTTAAGAATGAAATAATAATGTCAAAATATTGCCAGGAACTTGCTGAAATGAAAAGGGTGTGTTAGGTTAAGCATAGAGACTAGACTGGGGTTTTTTTCTGCATTTTTGCTTCTGTCATCCTTTGGAAAGTGTGTTGTTTGCACTAGTAACTGAAATGCAATTTGGGGAGGACAGAAAAATGCACTAATATTTATATGAAGCTGTAATACAGCAAAAAGTATATGGGCTGTTATTCTGCTATATTGCCAGAGGACTGTATTGATCTTCAAAGGGTTAAAGTGCTATGAGGTTACATTAATGTCACCCTTCAGCAATCACTGGCCAATAACGTATCAGCAATCAATGCTGCAGCATGTCGTTCAGGACACTCAGTTTTTGGAGACAAGTGGCTGATATATTTTGACAAGAATAAAAAATAGTATTGAAAATTCCTGCAAATCTTAACTCAGAGAGGGAGATACATGAAACAAAATGCTTCCATTCGAAAAAAATGGTAATGTTTGCTTTCCTAAGTAACAACATTTTATGTCAGTTCAGTGGAGCAGTGAATGAACCAAAATTCTACTAACCTTCAAAATGGAAAGGATTCTGTAAGTAGGATTTACATACTCTGAATATTTAATATTTTGAGTGCTCATCACAGCTCACATAAACTAATACTTAAATATATATTTCCAGTGAAGAAAACATTTGACTTCTGATGGAGTAAAGCAGTGAGATGTTTTGACTTGCGAGTACAAACACAGGTTTCTCAGCCCCTGCTTCTTTTTTTCTTGTTAGAAATTTTTTTCTAATGACTTCTCATAATCTCTGCAAATCCAAAGACGGCAACACAGGCCACTTCGGTTTGACACAAAAGAAACTTAAAGAAAAAAAAAATCAAGAACTCAAAAAGCTATAAAGTGGAAGTATAAAAGGTGGGGGGAGGGAACAAAATTAGAGGCTGCAAGAGGATGCAAGGGGTTAAACTTCTGACCACTGTGTGCATATATAAAATCATATCACCTTATCTGAAAAGTTTAGGCTCTAAGGAAAACACTCAGTTTAAAATACCTTTTAGGTATATTAAATCTTTAGGCTGAAGATTACAGCAAGTGTTTTCTCTTTGGTGAGTAGCTGTTTGTCTCACTTTATTTACTTGGTATTGGGTATTTGTCAATGTCATTTCATATCTGCAGAAAATTCATACGTTCTATGGAAGTATGTATGTGTGTGAGAGTGCTGAAGGTCACATGACTATTTCATCCTATTTGGTGGAGCAGCTTGACTTTTTTCCCTTGCTTTTGGTGATGGTTGTGAGTGCAGAAGTTGATTGACAGATGCATGCCAGAAACCCCCATTCTCCTTTTCAAAGACTACATATGATGGATTGCGATCTTTCAGCTCAGCAGGACACAGGGACCATGCAAGCTGTAATTGGTCAGGTATGGAGTCAGCCATTTCTCAACTCCCCTTTTATTTTTTTTTTTTTCACAAGGGTCTAACCATATGATTCACATAATTCATATTTACAGTACCATCTTTCTATCTGTATCTTCAGCTACCAGCGAGTGTAGTACTGAAAGTGAGAAAGGCAAAAGAAACACAATAATCTGGCCAGGGAATCACTAGAAAAAAACTAAATTACCATTCTTTTCTTCTAATAAACCCCGTTTCAGTCTGAGCTTTATCAAATCAATGTATTTATTAATTTGCTGTTTTATTTTTTTTTAAATATGCTGAAGTAGAAGAACCGAGGAGTGAAAGTGTTATGTTTGCTGGGGAGTTGCTTTCTATTTGTAATGCTGTTCATTATTTTTATATTGACTGTATTCCTGTACTAGATGCTGTGGCTTTTATTTTTTATTTTTATTTTGTCTTCTTATACTCCTAATCCAGATAATGTGTGATTGAGCCTGGTAAATGTAGTGGTCTTTGCTGCTGCAGAGGGGCAGCCTGCAAATTAAACACTGCCACAATCTGAAAGGTCCAGGTGGTCTGCTCGTGCTTCCTAATGCAATCCAGCACAACAGCTTTAATAAACAGCTCTATTTAGTTCTCCCTCCCTGTATCCAGGGAAGTGAACTGGGGCTGCTGTGATGAAATGCCAGAAGAATATCTCTCAAAGGCCTCACAAGCTGATTTTTAGAGCTTTTCCGTTTTGTCGTCTTTGTCTTCCAAATGGGTCAGTGAGTCCTTCTCTTTCTGTTTTGTGATTTCTGATAAGTCTGTAGTTTTTATATGTGTGATTTAACCATGCTGTTTTGAGCTTTAGCCAGAAGAGAGAAAAATCATTGTCTTTTCATTTGCTTCAAATAATAACCTGAAGTGGGGAAAGAAATTATTTTGTTCTGATGAACAGGGAGGGCTGTTTTCCTGTGAAAGCAGTCAGAGTCAGATGAGAGTGCCTGTTTTTCTTTTTCTCACAAAATTTTAAGTGCTCAACACTTTCTCATTAACCACTGACTTGTAAATCATTCTCTGGTAAAGGGTATTTTTTGAACTCTCAAAAGTTTGTGGTTTTTTTGCATATGTTTCCAGTATAGTGAACGCATGCTGCTGAGATGACATAGTATTTGTTTGCTATATTTTGATATAATAGTAGAAAAATACGCATTCTATACATTGTTTTCATCTAAATTATGGCACAGCACTAAAGTCCCTCAAAGCACATGGTTTATTAATACCATCGTACATAGTAATGCATTTTTGGGCGGAAAATGTCAAATATGCAATGCCATGTTTACCACAGACTTTTATTGCTTTAAATATTTTAAAAATAGAAGATACATTTTTTATTAAAAATCCTCCAAACATTCACAGCTTTCTATTAGGCTGGCTTATACCTAAAAAGTGGGGCATCCTTGCCAGTACTACATTGTGCAAAAAGATGTATTTTAGATTATGTTAATTACCTTTTTGTTTAACTTGTTCAGTCTTACAGAAATATTTTTAATGATTCTAAGGCAGATACAATGGCAAGGTTTTGAGCAACTGCACTTGATAGAAAATGTATCCTGAAATATTTATAAATCTAAAAGCTTGTAATATCTCTTTAATATAAATTTTGTTTTCACATGTAAGAAAGTGTAAGTTAACTATTTTATGTTTAAGGCTTGCCAACTCTCAGAAGGTGGTTTTGAGGCTGGAAATGGTAGACGGATTTTTTTTTCTGTGTGTAACATTGCATATTTCATTAATTAAAAAAGTTCAGTGAATGTCTGGAAAAATGTTTATATCATGTGTTTGTGTATTTCATTTCCTAAAATTAATATAAAGATCATGTATTTAAAAGAAAAATAAATGTAGGTATTTTAGGTGACTGACTTCTGTGGGTTTTCTGTGTTAGACTTTATAAATGTTATTTTTCTGCAACTTACTGTCTTAGGTGCTGCAAACATTATTTTCAGATCAGCATGTGTGCATATTTACATTTCATATATGTAAGTGTGCACATCAAAATGGATTTATAAATACACAAAATTTTCAAATATGTTTTTGTTTTGATTAATTGTCCAGTGTTTGGTTGTTATTGGCTATGTGTTAAGATAGAATAAAAAGTTTTGGGTTTTTTTTCTGATAAAAATTATGCATTTTCTGGTTGTATAATAAAGGAGTTAGTTAAAATGTGGGAATCTCAGGGCACTCAGTATAATTACCATATTTTGCTGAAAATAGACATAGATTTTCTGTAAGTATTTTAAGAGAAAATAACTATCAAAAGGCAAGCCCTATAGCAGAAAATCTTTCCATATTGTAAGTCTCTATTTTGTATTGATAAATAGTTAAGGTTTGCATATTTAGTGGTTGCATAGTTTTAGAAGACATGTTTATTTCCTCACATTAATAGAAAAAGTTCTTAAAAGTCTTTGCTAACTTTCAAACCTCCAAACACAAAAAATTGGGTAAATGTTTATAATTTGGCCTTTTTATAGCAGCATTGTAATTTTTTTTCTAATATGAGAATTATTTTTTTTTACTAATCCTGCAGATGTAGCTCTAAATTCAGTCTTGTTTACTGCTAATGGAATGTGAACTCGCCTAATTAAAAATCCAAACTGTACATGTATAGCTGATGCAGTGGAGATCAGACACACTAGCAGTTTTTTGTAGTTCAGGCATTAGTCTGTGTATGACACAAATGGAATAGCAGAGCATACCAATTCAAAGGCATTTTCAACACTAAGTAGTTGTTCATCATTAAATGCATTTTTTACTTTTTTTTAAAACAATCTGGGTTTCAACTGTTTTTAACCACCAGTCCACAGTGATTGCCACTGATGGTGGCAATGGTGTGCAGGGTGCTACAACTCTGACTGTTACCCAGCACCTGGGTGTACTGGGTCCAGGGTGCAGAATTGCTTCCCTCTGGATTTTTCCTCCCCCAAGCAAGCAATAAAACAGCCAAGTACTCTGAAGAACAACCTCCTTGCCTTGTGTGTCAAGATCTAGAAGCTCATTGCTCATTGTGATTTTGATTCATAACTGGAGTGTTTGGCATGAAACCCTGATCCCTGCCAGCAATAGGCTGTAGCGTCCTTCCTTGCATGGCAAACCGCAATATCCATTATTTCTTCAATTGTGTTTTGCTCTTATAGAAACTATTAGCTGGATTTTTATGCCATATTCACTGTATATCCTGAGCCCATCTGAATGAACAGATAATTAAATGTGTCATGTAATTATGCCAATGACATTGTAATTTATCTCCCTTGTATGCTTTCTAAAACATCTACTATACCTTTTTCTTATTCTTTTTTCTCTCCATCTTTTTTTTTTTTTCCCTCAGACCTGAGCTTGTGAGTGACAGGTTAGTTCATCAGCATTACAGCCCTCCTGTTTTTGTCTCATCTCATGCAGACAGGTCACTGTGTCCAATCACCCTTCTGGCTCTGCTGTCCCCAGGGGAGCCCGGGCCAGCCTGCCATCTTGATCCACCGGCCTGAGGGCCCAGGCTGGCTGTACATTTCTGTGTTCACTGGTTCTTGCAAATATAGTAAAGTGGGGAAGGGGAGGGGAGCAGCTTAAATTAGGTCTCTATATATTGAGAGGAAGCAAATTAGGTAACGTTCTTCTTCAAATAAGCATGTGTTTGCAGTTATAACTGCTATACTTGAGTTCTCTTTCTACAAGTTTAGCATGTTTATTTCTGTATTTCAATGGTATCCTCCATATGATCTCAACATGAAGTAAATGCTATTTATGCAAGAGTAAACATGATCTTTTCCCACAGAGAGTTCTCTGAAGCCCAGTTTATGAATCTGATACATTGCTGCAGCCAGTGTGGGTATTTCTGGTCTATTTTGTTGCGATTTAAAATTTTTTTTTTGTATCCTCATGATTAACCACAATATAACATGTTTCAGAGAAGCCATCCCTTTTGTAAATTTTGGTCACTTTTCAGAAGTTTAATCTGTTGTCAGTGTTGTTTTTATGATGCAGATGAATATGTATCCAGGAGTTTAATTTTTACCAAATGAATATCAGATCTATAATATTATTTTGTGTTGAGCGATCTCTACATGATTTTTTTTGTAGCAGTAGAGAAGTTCTTTTTCTCTTGGAATATCTGTTTCTACCTCTAATCTAATATCAAGAATTGCCTATAACATATACAAACAGAAAATAACCATATGTAAAGTTAGGACCCACTTCTGTAAGACAGCAAGGAATTGTGCCATTTTGTCTGCAATTTGGGACAAATCCTGTTCTTTCAAGTAAAAATTAGTGCCATCACTGTAAGAATAATTACTTGCATAAGTAAGGCCAGACTACTTGTCCCCTTGGCTTCTCAATGTATATTCAGCACAAACATTTTAGTCGTTTATAGTCACCAACAGTGGTTTTCTGCAGTTCAGGATTGTGAGGGAGAGACTTATGGACAGGTACCCATTGACTGTTTTTTTCGGTAGCAGAGAGACAATGTAAACAGTAAGAAATATGTTTGAAAAACTTCATTCTTTTTAATATTTATGAACAAGCTGGTACTCTGATAATGAAGCATTCCATCTTTGCAGAAACCCACTGTTGTATACACTCTCTAGAATATTGTGTCCCTAAGAATTATTATTGTAAGGAGATGCAGGAATGTGGCTGTTATATTTTACAGTATAAATATTTGTTGTAGAGGACTTTGGATCTTGTTAATTTAATATATGTAAATTCTTTGGTCCCAGGCCTGGATTCCAGCAAAAGAATGTTGACTTCTGTTTTTACAGCAGAAAAGATTAATTTTTATCATTTTGATTCATACTTAAGATTTTTTCTTCTTTTCACACCAAAATTGGATTTTAATTGGAATCAGCTTTCTAAAAACATCTTCAATAATTTTCTCTGATTTTCTTTTTTCTGTTCTGTACTACTGCATAGTTTAATCTGTGGTTCAGGTCAGCCAATTAAGAGGTCAAATCTTAAAAAAGCTGTGATTTGTACCGTGTGTATATTC